CTTGGAAAACTTTTCACAATCAGAAATCTTTTATTTGCTCCACAATCCCTCGGTGTGTATTTCGAATGGAAATTTCAGATAATTGCAACCCAGAGGATACATTTAATGAAGGGAGCGTTTCTATTTTGGCGGGTGCAGAGCTCTCTCTTGTTTTTATTCTCCTTGCAGTGTTACCTTGGTTGGTTGAACCATAAATCCAGAGACGTTTTCAAGACACCTCCATCTAAACCTTTCCGAAATGCGTCCCTTGTTCCCGGCGGGGTTTTGCACCGACTTAACTGTGTAATAAAAGCCCAATTTAAATGATTCAGAGGCTCTGCAATGTGGTCCTAATCTTAAGTGCGCAGAGTCGGGGGCTTTCGTGACAACGACAATATGTGTTTCTCTAGCGGGATCAACTTTTCTAATTTCACCGCGGCGATCAGCTTTAGAGCCGCCGAAAGAGCAATCACCCGCACCAACGACCCACCGGTCCTTCGAGTCTTCATAATTCACGGCGCAAATAATATATACGCCGCACTCGCCCGAAAACTCATTTGAAGTGTTTGCTTACATTGGGAGTCGAAACATTTGTGACTGCGAGGCCACACTCTAATAAAACGTTACTGGCTTAACCTTATCGCGGCAGAAATTAAAGACACGGGAAGAAGTTGTCTTACTTTTAATTAAAAACCAGCTCCTTCTGGAGATGAGAAAGAGCTCGTTTTCTCTGGCTGGGTGTAGGTACAGAAGGCAGTGATGAGGAGCGAGACACAAAACTGCAGCCCCTCAATGCGATTTGCTTGAAATCACCCTCAATGGGTTTTCTGAGCATTTTTAATTGGAGCCAAAGCACTCAGGAATCACTGTCTTCTCTGTCTTCAAGCCGGAAAGAGTCACGTTGCAACATTGGAAAGGCTCAGTCCCTATTCTGGGTCTTTGGTGTTCCTGTTCTTCATTGTGATAGCTTCATCTATGCTGATGATCGTGCCATCACCACTCAAGCAGGGAGCTTTGAGATGGTTGAAAAGAAGCTCTCCGAAGCTCTAGGTGCTCTAACTGCCTATTACAGGGAAAACCAGCTGATCCCTAATCCATCTAAAACACAGACATGTGCCTTTCACCTTAAGAACAGACAAGCATCCCAAGCTCTGAGGATTATTACCTGGGAAGGAATCCCACTGGAGCATTGCAGCGCATCCAAATCCCTGGGAGGAGTGACTCTGGACCACGCTCTGACCTATTATTATTATTATTACTATTACTATTATTATTATTATTATCTTTATTTATACCCCGCTAACATCTCCCGAAGGACTCGGTGCGGCTTACAAAGGCCAAGGCCCTCAATAAAACAACAGCATAACAAATACAACAATAAAACTCATAAAGCAAAACAATAAACATTAAAGCAATAACAGTAAAACATTAAAACAATAACATCATGACGCATTTAAAACTAAAGGCCGGGCCAAATGTAATGAATAAAAATTAAAAGTGCTGGGCATGACAGGAGAAATGTAAGGATTTTATGGTAGGTGCAATGTGCAGACAATCTTAATTCTCTAGTAAAGTGCGTTTGGGACATGATGCTGAGAGTTTCCTATTCTGGAAAGGCACACTGGAACAGCCAGGTCTTCAAGCTCTTCCTAAAGACTGCCAACGTTGGGGCTTGTCTGATGTCCTTGGGGAGAGAGTTCCAGAGTTGGGGGGGCTACCACAGAGAAGGCCCTGTCCCTTGTCCCCACCAAATGCGCTTGCGACGCAGGTGGGATCGTGAGCAGGACCTCTCCGGATGAACGGAGGGACCTACAAGAAGCACCGCCTGAACATCAAGCAAAAAGTGGGCGTTAGAAATAATATCATACAAAAGCTGGGGATAACAACCAGACACAGTGAAGGCACAACCTGGGGATCACAACCAGACACAGTGAAGACATCTGCCCTTGCGCTATGCTACTCTGCTGCTGAGTATGCATGCCCAGTGTGGAACACATCTCACCACGCTAAAACAGTGGATGTGGCTCTCAATGAGACATGCTGCATTATCACGGGGTGTCTGCGCCCTACACCACTGGAGTTACTACACTGTCCAGCCGGAATTGCACCACCTGACATCCGTCGGGAAGTAGCAGCCAATAGTGAAAGTACCAAGGCAGAGACATCTCCAGCTCATCCTCTGTTTGGGTATCAGCCAGCACGTCAACGACTTAAATCAAGAAATAGTTTTCTAAGATCTACAGAGACACTCACTGGAACACCTCAGCAAGCGAGAGTCCAAAAGTGGCAGGCTCAAACCCAGAACCTCAATCCGTGGGTGATACCAGATGAGAGACTCCCCCCTGGGCACACAGAAGATGGGATGACTTGGAAGGCGCTGATTAGACTGCGCTCTGGCACCATGAGATGCAGAGCCAACCTCAAGAAATGGGGCCACAAAGTGGAATCCTCGGCATGCGAGTGGGGAGAAGAGCACACCATTGACCACCTGCTGCAATGCACCCTGAGCCCTGCCACATGATGCACAAGGGAGGACCTTCTTGCAGCAACACCGGAAGCACTCCACGGGGACAGATACTGCTCAAAGGACATCAACTACCAAGCTTGCAAATTTTGTGTTTTTTCTGTCTGTCTGTCTGTCTGTCTGTTTGTTTGTTTGTTTGTTTGTTTTGTTAAAAATGTAATACAGCTGTCTGGTTGCTGATGACATAATAAATAAATAAATTGTGCTAGCCAAAAAAGAGGCAAGCAATGGCAACCTAGAGTCACAACACATTGGCCACTGGTTCTCCAGCAATCTGAAAGATCTTCTAGAGACCATTGTTTCTCAACCTTCCGAATGCTGCAACCCCTTAATACAGTTCCTCATGTTGTGGTGACCCCTGACCATCACATTATTTTCGTTGCTACTTCATAACTGTAGTTTTGCTTCTGTTATGAATCGTGATGTAAATATCTGACATGCAGGATGTCTTCTGATTCACTGGACCAAATTTGGCACAAATACCCCATATGCTCCAATTTGGTGGGGTTGGGTGGAGGGATTGATTTTGTCATTTGGGAGGGTTTTTTTTTTGTTTTTGTCTTGTCAGGAGCGTCGCTCCTGTTGTGAGAGAATTGGCCGTCTGCAAAGACGTTGCCCAGGGGACACCTGGATGATTTGATGTTTTTATCATCCTTGTGGGAGGCTTCTCTCATGTCCTCTTTACATGAGGAGCTGGAGCTGATAGAGGGAGCTCATCCGCCTCTCCCTGGATTCGAACCTGCGACCTGTCAGTCTTCAGTCCTGCTGGCACAGGGCTTTAACCCACTGCGCCACCGGGGGCAGTGGGAGTTGTAGTTGCTGGGATTTATAGTTCACCTGCAATCAAAGAGCATTCTGAACTCCACCAACGATGGAACTGAATCAAGCTTGGCACACAGAACCCCCATGACCAACAGAAAATACTGGAAGGGTTTGGTGGGCATTGACCTTGAGATTTGGAGTTGTAGTTCACCTATCTCCAGAGAGCACTGTGGACTCAAGCAGTGATGGATCTGGACCAAATTTGGCATGGATACTCAATAGGCCCAAATGTGGACACTGGTGGAGTTTGGGGAAAATAGTCTTTGGCATTTGGGAGTTGTAGTTGCTAGGATTTATAGTTCACCTACAATCAAAGAGCCCCCTGAACCCCACCAATGATAGAATTGGGCTAAACTTCCCACACAGAACTCCCATGACCAACAGAAAATACTAGAGGGCTTTTGGAGCAATTGACAGTGATTTAGGGGAGATGTAGTTCACCTACCTCTGGAGAGCAATGCGTTCCTAAGATAATCAGAAATTTGTGTTTCCTGTATAAACAGCATGATACCCCCCTCATGACACCCACAAGGGTCCTAACCCCCAGGTTGAGAAATGCTGTTCTAGAGGATGTCCCCAAGTTACAAACAATGTGGATTTGTTTTAAGTTGAATTTGTATGTAAGTCAGGGCAGCTACATTTTGGAAGTGTAACTCCGGCTATATCTATATCTGTATCTACATGCACACACACACACACACACATATATGATGGGAAAGGGAATGGTGAACACCCCTGTGGTGTTTCCTTTTCTGCCTGTGGCGCTCGTCAGGGGATTCCACCTCACTTTCTGTCCCTGGGACAATTGCATTTTGGAAAATGTGGCTTGTTGTAGAAGGAATTATTGGAGAAAAAGCTCCATTGGAGACCTCTTTTCCCCGTGGTAATAACTCTCCTTATGCTATCCAATACGTATATATACACACACATGCACATATATACACACATGCATATTTGGATGGAGTTACATTGAAAAAATGTCCCTATTCTGGCTTACAAACAAATTCAGTTTACCATAGGCATGTTGATGCTTCCCTATGCAATTCAAAGCCTGCATATATATATATATACACACACACACATACATATACACACATGCACATACTAGCTGCCCCCTGCCCTGCGTTGCTGTGGCCCAGTCTGTGTATATGTGTTTTGTGTGTATATATATTTGTGTATATGTGTATAATTGTGTGTTTGCACAATTATATCTGGTTTTGCGCATGTGTTGTAATGTATTTTTTGTTTTTTGGCTTTTAATGTCTCTTCTGCTGTGTTTTTCAGTGTTTCTATGAGTGATGGTCACTCGTTGGCCTGAGAGGTGTCTTGTGTCCAAATTTGGTGTCAATTGGCCCAGTGGTTTTTGAGTTAGGTGAATCCCACAAACGAACATTACATTTATATGTGTGTGTGCGCGCGCACGCATGTGTGTGTGTGTCAGTGTCTGGAATTACACTTGAGACATGTATCTTGGGGACTGCCTACATACATTTGTGAGGGACAAAAACCTTATCACACAAAAGGGAAGTCCAGCTTTGCATGGAGCTCCGAGGGCGGACTTTGCTCACCTCTTTCCTAAAAAGGTAGGCAGAAATCTCTTCAATGCCTATCTCAGTTTGCTTTAGGAACGGAGGACCAGAAAGGGCTCCCCGTCATCTCCAGAAGGCACCCCTACCTTGTCGAAGTGCTCAATGAGGATCTCCACCACGATGTTCTGGAACTTGATGTTCATCATGGCGGCCACGGTGTCCTCCTGCGCCCGCATGAGCGTGGGGCCAAAGATCACCCCCATGTTGGACGGGGACATCAGGTTCTCCTTGCTGTGTTCGCAGACGCTGCCGACCAAAGAGCGAGAAGAGGATCAAGGGAAAGAAAAGGGGTGTGAAATACAACATATCTGAGGTCAGGTTGAACATGACGTATGGCCCCTCATTTCGTCTACTCTGCATCCAATGAAGTAGGTCCTCCAAGTGATTCTATGGGATGCTTCTGCCCGAAGCTGGCGGACTCAGCAAATACTGACTTGAATCTAATGCAACATCAAATTTAATGTGTATCTCTACTTTAAAATCACTGAAACCAATATATGCTAGCCGTCTCCTGCCACATGTTGCTGTGGCCCAGTCTGTGTATATGTGTTTGTTTGTGTGTATATATATATATGTGTGTGTGTATATGTGTGTGTATATATTTGTGTATATATGTGGTTTTCCACATGCGTTGTAATGTAGTTTTTGTTTTTTGAGACTAGCTAATTACCTATATAAATAAAAATGTAGTGTTCGGGTTGTTGTAGGTTTTTCTGGGCTATATGGCCATGTTCTAGAGGCATTCTCTCCTGACGTTTCACCTGCATCTATGGCAAGCATCCTCAGAGGTTGTGAGGTCTGTTGGAACTAGGAAAAAGGGTTTATATATCTGTGGAATGATGACCAGGGTGGGACAAAGGACTCTTGTCTGCTGGAGCTAGGTGGGAATGTTTCAACTGACCACCTTGATTAGCATTTGATGGCCTGGCAGTGCCTGGGGGAATCTTTTGTTGAGAGGCGATTAGATGTCCCTGATTGTTTCCTCTCTGCTGTTGTGCTGTTGTAATTTTAGAGATTTTTAATACTGGTGGCCAGATTTTGTTCATTTCCATGGTTTCCTCCTTTCTGTTGAAATTCCCCACCTGCTTCTTGTGGATGTCAATGGCTTCTCTGTGTAGCCTGGCATGGTGGTTGTGAGAGTAGTCCAGCATTTCTGTGTCCTCAAGTAATATGCTGTGTCCAGGTTGGTTCCTCAGGTGTTCTTCTATGGCTGATTTCTCTGGTTGAAGGCGTCTGCAGTGCCTTTCATGTTTCTTGATTCGTGCCTGGGCAAATCTGCTGCTGCGTTTGGTGGTCCCTCTGGAAACTTCTTGTCCACAGCTGCATGGTACACGGTAGACTCCTGCAGAAGTGAGAGGATCCCTCTTGTCCTTTGCT